TACCTGTGGAGGGGAGGAGGCAGGTCCTGACCTGCCCACTCTGGCAGCACTTCTCAGCGCCGGGGCAGCTGTGGTCAGAGAGGCAGAACAGCCTGGGGGGACGTGGAGCTCTGCTCCCCGCCGCTGGGCACTTGCCCACTTTGCCAGGGGCAGGCAGGGCGGCGGGGGGCCAGCGTCCCTGTGGGGCACGGCGCGGTGCTGGGGTGACCGCGGGGGCAGCGCCTTGGTCCCCGGTGCGGTGCTGGTGGGCCGGGGTGGGTGGTAGCTCCACAAACAGTGCCAGGAGCACCAGGAGGAGGGTGCGCTTACCCGGCATTGTGCTGCTGTCGGGGGGCTGTGCTGCTGGGCCCGCTGGCCAGGATTTAAACCCTGCCAGGGCGGGGGCTGGCCAAGCTGAGCTGCTCCTTCCCATGGCAGCACTGTATTGAGACCGTGGGAGTGCCAGGCACGAACAATCCGCCTTGGGGGAGACTCCTGGGGCAGTGCTGGGCTCGCAGCCTGTGGCTGACGCATCCTCCACAGCACGTCCTTTCCAGGTCACCAGTGACCCGCGAGCAGCCAGGCTGGGGGGACAGGCAGCGCTCTGGGAGCCCCACTGCCTGTGCTCTCCAATGGTGAGCAGGGATGGGACACAGGGGAGCAATGTCCTGTCCCTGGTCCTCAGTGTCCACCCAGTCCTGCCCGGGGAGCGTCGTCAGTTGCCTCCCGGCACACATGGAGCGGGAAGAGCTGCTGCGGAGAGCCATGGTGCTGAGCCAGGGTGGACCAGCCTGCACCCACACTGCAGGGAGAGGGGGAAACAGAACCGGGCACCCGGCTGTGCCAGGCAGGATGCAGGGCTCACTTTGCCTTGGGGCACAGCTGTGCTCTGTCCCCTGCCAAAGGTGGGGGCCCTGGGGTGCCAGCCTCTCGAAGGCATGTGGGACTGCTTGCTCTGGTCCTGGGGGCTGGGAGTGGGAGTGGGGTGGGTGCAGGAGGGCCGGGGCATCAGGAGCCCTGCGGGGAGCAGGAGGTGCCTGGGAGAGTGGGGCAGGAGCAGGAGTGGGGCCCAGCTCTGAGCAGGCAGGGGAGGGACGGGGCAGGGGCAGGCATGGG